TACATATTATAATTAACTAGAGGCCCAGTGCATGGATTCGTGCACCATATGGGTCCCTCAGCCTGGCCTGCGGGGACCAGGCCAAAACCGGCTCTCAGACATCCTCCGAGGGGTCCCGGGTTGAGAGAGGGCATAGGTCAGGCCGAGGGATCCCACCAGTGCATGATCAGGGCCAGGGAGGGACCTTGGGAAGGCTCTAGGGTAGTCTCTCTCACCCAGTCTAGACTGGCTGGACCCTAACAGCAAGCTAGCCTACTGGTCAGAGCATCTGCCCCCTGGTGGTCAGTTAGCATCATAGTGACCAGTTAAATGAGCAGTCGGATACTTAGAATATCAGGTTTATTATATAGGATAGGATGACATTTTAAAGAGTATTTAAAAGCTATTATCAGATTTTTAAAACGTAATGAATATAAACATAACACTTATTACTCATACAATGGATGCTGTCCTGAAAAAACTATAAAATTCTGGAATCTTTATGCTTCTCTGCTTTTATTTTTGGTGTTCAGAATATTGTTCATCTGACATGGTATAACTTATCCCCTTTTATCTGGGGATGTAATGTACAGCATGGTGACTATAGTTAACAATACTGTATTATAAATATAAAGTTGCTAAGAGCAAATTTTAAAAATTCTCGTAGCCGAAACCGGTTTGGCTCAGCGGTAGAGCGTCATCCTGCGGACCGAGGGGTCCCCAGTCAAGGACATGTACATTGGTTGTGGGCACATCCCCGGTGGGGGTTGTGCAAGAGGCAGCTGATCAATGTGTCTCTCTCATCAACGTTTCTAGCTCTCTATCTCTCTCCCTTCCTCTCTGTAAAAAAATCAATAAAATATATTTTTTTTAAAAATTCTCATTGTAAGAAAAAAATGTGCAACACTGTGAGGGGATGGATTTAACTAAATTTATTGATAGAGTACTATCAATTTACCCATATCTCTATATGTGTTAATTGTTCATTCAGCTGCCTGCCTTCCCGATAGCCTGCTCCTGACAGGACAGGGACTGTGCCTCTCTTCTTCATGTAGCCCAGCCTGGTGCCTGGCACATAGCACGTACTTTTCTAAAATTATTATTATAAGGCTTCCTCCATATATAGATTCCAAATAAAACTCTTTGAGCAAAAGTTTTTTAAAAATGAGGTATGGAGAAAAAGTAACCATCCAGTTTAGATAACTACTCTAGCAAATGGCAATTTACCTAAACAGGTACTTAAATCAGATACTTCAAGGGCATTAGATTTTATCATATCTACAAACACTGTTTCTTACTAGTTAATATTTTCATTTAAAAGAAAGTTTTTCAATTAGAACTATCAAACTAAGTAATTCAGTTCAATTTATTACATGTTTATTAAGACAGAGGGAAAAAGATAAAGAAGGAAATACAAAATAGTCAAAGTGGTTCAATTTCTAATTTTAGTAAATGTTCAATTTTTAGAATTAAAAAAGAAAGCAAAGCAACAGTAGAAAATTAAATTTAAATGGTTGAGGTTCTCTATTGCCAAATCATCTATTCAAGAGTGTTTTTATCAACTATAAAAGCATTTTGGAAGCTGGTCCTCATACATAGCCTACAACAGTCAATACTTTAAACAAATCGGTAACTGTTGGAAGATACTTCAAACAATTAAATATCAAGATTCCCATTCTAAATTATCGTAAGTAATTTATTAGGAAGAATTACATCTTCCTATATATAGGTAATTTAGGTTTAGGAAACAATTTTAATATAAGAAATTAAATTGACTAATTTATCAGCAATGTTAGAATAAACATCAATACATGATGGGAAAGATTATGATAATTTTTAATGGGAAGCATAATTTTTAATATTTTGCTTCACTTAACCACATTACTATATAGGATATAGTTTCATATACAAATATAAAATAAGAAGAAAAACAGAACTCCACCTTCAAGGTATGATTTAGCTACTGAAATAATCAGATGTGCATACTAATTCCTGTACTGGTGACAGATTTGAACAGGAATTGAACACTAAATTCCACCTTCAGGCACATCATGTCAAATACGTATGAACAATAATAATTTCATGACAGTTGTGCCAGGGGAAATATCCCAAGATTCTTTGTACAAGTCAGAACAATAACAGATACAACTGATGTATGGTTAACTAAAGAATTAATGTCAAAAACCTTATTAAATTTCATTTGTTTCTCTAAATCTAGAAATGGGCTAGTTTTTCCAAAAGGTGTATACATAGATAATGTATATAAACAGAAACAGAAGTGGATTGCAATCATACTTTTCTATGCTCAAACATAAATCTCTTCCTTCTTTTAGATTCAAGATTATCATCTAACTTATTTTAGTTAAGATCAGTTCTGCAAGCATATTGAAAATAATCACTAGTTTAATTAATTGTGTCCAAAAAGCAGTTTAATTGACTGGCATAAAGAAAAACATATGATTTTAGGTATATATACAATACCTATAGTAATAAAGGAAAGATCTATTTAATTAAACTTATAATCCTGTACTACCATGATAAAATAACTTCTTTAATCATAAGAACTGCAAATGACAGAGTAAAATACCACTGACAACTTTTCAGTACTGAAAATTATATGAAAGGTTTGGAAAAAGTTACAGGATAGGGGAAGTAAGAGAGTAGAGATATTACAATTAGTCATTTTATTTAGTTCCCAAACATCTAGGAGTTTCTATGTTTCTGATAATTATTCTGCTAGGTAAGGTTTATACTGGGAAGGAGTTAAACTGGAGGTAGGTACAAGCAAGAGTACTAACCAGATTTCTGTTATTTGTAAGTTGTATAAGTAACTTATTATTAGGCCTTAGATTCCATATAAATAAAGAATGATTTCTAGAACCCATTTAATTGTAACATTAGAAAAATTCAGAATGTTTTAAATTCAAGTCATTTTAATCTTCATATCCTGTACATACAAAATTCGTAGGGATTAAAAATCAAACAAACCAAGTAACTAGTTGTAGCATACAGGCAAGGCCTAGCTATACTCTAAATTTGATAAATCTAGTGAGGCCAACTTTTCACTTTTTGATATATAGACTAAGCCTCTTAAAATCATCCTAATGAAGACAAAACTCACATCACAAGATAAGAATTTAAATCCATATAGAACCTTTTTTTTTATTTTATTGATTTTTTACAGAAAGGAAGGGAGTGAGATAGAGAGCTAGAAATGTCAATGAGAGAGAAACATCGACCAGCCGCCTCCTGCACACCCCCTACCCGGGATGTGCCTGCAACCAATGTACATGTCCCTGACCAGAATCGAACCCGGGACCTTTCAGTCCGCAGACCGACCCTCTACCACTGAGCCAAACCGGTTTCGGCTGAATCCATATAGAACCTTTTAAAGCACTTTATAGATATTATCTAATTAGCTTTTCTAACCATTTCTGTGAAGTGTCATGTATCCAATCTAATAAAAGGGTAATATGCAAATTAACCATCACAAAGATGGCGGTGCCCATAGCCACAAGATGGCAGCGCCCAGTCCTCTCAGCCTTGCCAGAATCTCCCAGTCCCGGGGGCAGCTTCTGAGAGTGGGCAGTGTGAGCAGTTTGGCGGAATGCTTGCTTCGTCGCTGTGGCAACGGGCAAGCGTTCCGCACCAGGTCGCGGATGGCCTCTGGGCCGCAGAGAGCCGCTGGGCAGCGGGTGTGGAGCAGCCAGGCCCTGCATAGAGCTACTGGTGCACAGTTTCGTGCTCAGGGCTACTAGTTATCCGATATTTTCCAAAGAAGGCAAAAAGAAACAAAGGAACTAAAGTTATCGTTTTGCCAATGACATGGCTCCTTATTCCACATCTAATGTTTTAGCTTGTGAAAAAAGGTGGTCAGCTCAGTGAGAAATTATATTAATTGAAATGTCTCAGCCTTTTGAAAAATTTAACTTTCCACAAAATGTGAGTGCAGAGACAGTCTACTGTTTTGCTCAGCATTTCACCTAATAACTTAGTTCAGTATTTTCCACATTGTAGGCACTCAGTGTGTATTTGTTCAATGAATAAAGGCTATTAATGATAGCTAACAATTAACAGAGCTTATATATCAGGTGCTGTGTTAAGTACATCCCTTGTATTATTTCATTTACTTCTACAACAACTCAAAGAGATAAGTAAATTATTACTTGTCATTTTACTGATGAGGAAATTAAGGTTTAGGTTAAGTAATTTGCTCAAAATTACAAAATGATAAAGGCAGTATTTTTTCAAAGGTAGCCCAATTTTAGATCTTGTTTAAAGATTACCATTGTAGAAATAGACTTGCAATAAGAAACTATATATTCTATTCTTGCTGGAACTTAGGAGAGAAATTTCTTATTGATCTTTATAACTTATAATGCCTAGTAGAGTACCTTAATCACAATATTTGTTTTCAAATGTTTCCTGAATAAAATGTAAAATTGCATAATCAAATTAGGCCTCATTGTCCTCAACTGTAAAACAGAGATAAAGGTGCCTCACTGGTTCACAAGTTTGGTCCCTGGGCCTGGGAACTTTGTCCAAAATGCAAATTCTCAGGTCCCTTCCAGACCTACTGTTTTAACAAGCCTTCTAGGTGAGTCTCAGGCATGCTGAAGTTTTAAGACCTCAGGTTAATGTTACTTACAATATAATGATGAGAATTAACTGAAGTCAATAGTGTGGAATCACTCTAAAAAGTGAAAGGTATATCACACCACCACCATCACCACCACCACCAACATCATGATCATCATCATCATCATCATCATCATCAAAGGAGTAAATTGCATTCCTTGAATAAGCTTAGTGATTTTGCTAAATCCAGATGAAATAAACATAAAAAATGAAATAGGTCATGAAGCACTTTTAAAATAAAATATCGTCCTAGATTTTATCTGGATAATGTACAGTATTGATGGATCCAGAGAATAAGATGACTATGAGCCATGAAGGTGTATAAATGATTGATCTGGTTATGTGGCAGTTCAACCCAGAGAATGTGACATCAGGCATCTTACCTGACCAGTGTCCTGTGGAGATGCCATATCGGTCTGTGCAGGTCTCACTTACAGGTCTAAACACAGTTTCCCACCCACCAGTAGCATAACGCCAATTCTGAGACTCCAAGATCAGTGTTCGCTGGGTGCCATATGCAATCATGAAGCAGTAGACCACATGATGGAGCTGACAGCCATAGCCACAGCCTTTGTTGATATTGCACACTAGCTTCTTGGCTTTGCTGCAGTCCTTGGGATTCTGTCAGGGAGGAAGAGAAATCAAGGTGAAGATAAGCTGTACAGAGCAACTTCTCTTCATAGATGACAAGTACATAACTCAAATAAGCCAGGACTGATCCAGTATATTTTATAAGGCAAAGAATTGAGCTTTAAAGATCAAATTTCAAAGAATCTATTGAATATTTTATGTGCACACCTAGGGAGATGGCAGTGAAAAAGAACAGTTTGTTGGGAAACACCACAAAACGAACGTGAAATTAAGCAATAACATTTAAACGAATACTATTTTCACTTCTCTATCATACAGAACCTGCAAGTGTGATCATCTCTGAACTCAAAACTGCATACACTGAGATATTTATGAAGGAAGTAAAATAGTTCATTTATTTCAGCTGCAATTCAGCATTCTGAGCTTCCCTTCCCTGATGAAATTGAAGTCATTTTAAAGGAAAAATTATAATATATCTACTAATTACACTTATCTCCAGAGCTCTAGCTGTCATGAACAAAATCATTATGGAAGTAAAGCCACTGAGTAAAAAGATAACTGAGTTAAAAAATTATAAAATGTCAGTCACGGGACTTAGAAAACAACAACACCAATTTTGATAGTTACTAGTAATTTTCACAATAAAATGCAGAACATGTTCTATTTTAACTGTCTTGAGAATGTGGTATGTTACTTTTTAATTAGGAGATTCATTTACCTATTTTTATATTTTCTCTGAGATGAATAGAAAGTGCATAAGTCATGTAAGCCAGAACTGAATCCAGTATATTTTATAAAGCAAAGAATCTAGCTTTATCTGGATAATATACACTTAATACTATCAAACAATGGGTAAAAATGATCTTAGTTAATTCGAGAATTTCTTTTATCCATTTAAATATATTAATTCTTCTGTAATTCATATGAGTTGCTGCTGAACATCCCTAAGCATCTTAGGTCTTTAAATAAAAATTTGTTTTGACAAGGACTCCTTAGCCTGAGAAGTTTTTGAAGCCGTTTTGTCTGAAAGGGAGGAGAAAGAATGTGTGCCTTCAGGAACAGAATCTTCTCTCCCACAAAGCAAGAAGCAAAGTAACTAGTTCTCAATTTATATGAGCCTTGAAGAAAGCAGTCAACAAATCACAAACCTATCACTGTTTTCTAAAGATATTATCTGTTTTGTCAAGAAGAGATCCCTAGAAAACAAAGGCTAAGACAGCAAAGCTATAAAATGTTTCTGAAGGAAAAGCTGAGAAGGGAATATGCAATGGTTACTTTCAGAAGAGGTTATTTTTCACATTCCAATGTGCCATGCAGGCTAGCCTTTTTCTATCAAAGCAGAACCTATACCAGCAATTTTTAACTTTTTTCATCTCATGGTAAACTAATTAATAACATTCTGCAGCACACCAAAAAATATGTTTTTCAGCAGATCTGAGAAAAGAAGGTATAATTTTGATTCATTCATACCATCTGGCTATTGTTGTATTGACTGTTGTCCCTTTTTAAATTTGACAATCTACTAGTAATATGTGGTATATAAAACTGAAACCCATGGACACAGACAACAGTATGATGGGTATCAAAGGGAAAGAGCTAGTTTTTGTCAATTACCACTGACCCTGGTTGATGTCTGCCAAAAACTTGAAAGCATGTCTCATTCATAAGCAGCAATATATAGAAGGAGTGACTTGACTCGAGGTGGTGAACACACAATATACAGATATCGTATTATAAAATCATACACCTAAAACCTATATAATTTTATTAACCAACTAGTGACCCAGTGCATGAAATTTGTGCACATTAAAAGGGGATTAATTAGAGGAAATATTTTAATATTGCTATTTGCCCTTTCTTTATAATACAAGTGTCAGAGATTAAAGAAAATTAGTAAAATGTATATGAAAATCTTCCTCCTGTCAGAGTCTGTGGCATGCTGTGGGACCCAAAGTCCAATCCCCAGCCACCCATGGTGCCTCAAAAATCACATGAGACCCAGTCCCAGCTAGTCCCATCCCCATTGGGAGAGATCCAGACCCAGCCGACCTCATCCTTTTCAAGTCTTGCTGGGTGGGGGGCACGGCCTCAGGTCCCCTGGCTCAGTGCCAGGTGGAGGGCACAGCCTCAAGGCCCTGTGAAGCCCAGTAGGATGGGAGGCGCAGCCTCAGGTCCCTCAGCACACGCTCAGGTCCCCTAGCCTGCTATCAAGCAGGGGGCGCAGCTCCAGGGCCCTGTCAAGCACACCTGGTGGGGGGAGCAGCCTCAGGTCACCTGGCCCAGCACCAGGAGGGGAGGGGGCAGACCTTGAGGTCCCTTGTTAAGCCCTGCCAAGCAGGGGGCACAGCTTGAGGTCCCCTCGCCTTTCGCTGTGGGTGCAACCATCTTGTGTTATGGAAATCCTGCCTCCACTGTGGGCACAGCCATCTTTGTGACAGCAGAATGGTCAATTTGCATATTCCCTCTTTATTAGGTAGGATATCACCCCACTAAGTCAATAAAAAGAATAGACAGAAGGGCCTCAATACTAAAAGAAGTTTTAATGATGCTTTAATAGTTAGTTATCCTATCTAATAAAATAATAATATGAAAATTAACCATCACTCTGCTACACCCACAAGCCACTTCCACCAGCCAATCAGGAGCAAGTATGCAAATTAACCAAACCAAGATGGCTGCAGCCATGGAGAGAGTAGGAGGGAGGCTTGGATTTCCCTAGTGATGGAGGAAGCCAAGCTTTCTGCCTGCCCTTGCTGGCTTAGGCCTCAGGCTACAAAGATTCAATTATAGGAGATAAATAAATCCCAGATCCAGGGCCCCTGCTTGGGTCACCAGGGTGTGTGGCTGGCCTGCAAACCTCCACAGGCCCCTCGCCCAGGCCGCCCCACGCCTCTCCAGAACCGCCACCCTGATCCGGGACACACTTCAGGGCAAACCACCTGGCCCCCACCCATGCACCAAGCCTCTATCCTATCTAATAAAAGAGTAGTATGCAGATTGATCATCACTCCAACACACAAGATGGCTGCCCCCATGTGGTCAAAGATCCTGCCCGCAAGAGGACACAAGATGGCCAGCAGGGGAGAGCAGTTGGGAGGGATTAGGCCAGTAAAGGAGGGCAATTGGGGGCAATCAAGCCTGCACAGGAGGGCAGTTAGGGGTGACCAGGCCAGCACAGGAGGGAAGTTGGGGGCAAACAGGCTGGCAGGGGAGCAGTTAGACATCAATCAGGCTGGCAGGGGAATTATTAGGGGGTGATCAGGCTGACAGGCAGAAATAGTTTAGGGGCAATCAGGAAGGCACGCAGGCGAGCATTTGGGAGTCAGCAGTCCTGGATTGTGAGAGAGATGTCCCAAATTGAAGAGGGTGCAGGCTGGGTTGAGGGACAATCCCCCATGCACAAATTTCATGCACCAGGCCTCCAGTTTTTTATAAAATCTGTTTTTGTTTCTAGTGTGCCCAATGCACACTCCTTTTTATATTTATCTACCAGTTATGCAAGAATGTAGGCATATTGTTTTGTTCTATATTGTGATTCTTTTTATCTTTCCCCTCCCTCGCCTCTTATGGCACTCCCTTCTCTCTCTCCTCTCTCTCTCTTTCTCTCTCTTACACACACACAAACACACACACACACACACACCCCTTCGTCCACTGGGAGAGAATCTCACTCATTTTTCTCTTTTTCTGCCTTGAGTTTTTTCACTCTTTGACCAGGATAAACTTGTGCTCATTAATTAAATATTTATTAAACATTTAATATACACAAGGTAACATGGGAGATGATAATCCAATAGAACAAGAAATCATATGTATCAATAGCTACAATGATAGACTATTTGAATGTTTTAAAATTGTGATAAACAAGAAATTAAGAAATAGTATAGACTTCCACTGGGGGGGAAAAATCACTTTCAAATGTACTTTTGAAAGTGATTTTTTGTATTCAAGAGTTCTTTTGTATTCAGTTTCCTTTTCTTCAGTTTTGTACTTTTTCAAAAACAATTTAAGGCATTTCTTCTGATACTGTTAGTTCCCAAGAATGACCCTGTCTCAACAGAACTGTCATATACTAATAAATCAACATTGGGAAGTACATTTAAATCAATCTGACTCTAAATAAGATGGCACATTAAGGGAAGCAGCATCTCTTAAATCTAAATGATTACTAATTCACTAAAGGTACCATCATTATGTTGAAATGTTTAATTTTTTTACTTTAAAATATCAAAACTTACTGTTGGATATGTTTCAAATTAGGAAGCCAGCTTAATTTCTACTTTGCTAAAAAAATAATAATTTTCAATTGACTAGTAAACAACAGCCATTATTATATTACTTTGACACTGCTAGGATTTAGAGGTTTCCACTACTTTCATTTAGTAAATTAGTAGTAATTATAAGTTAATGATGTAATATTATGAAATGGCACTGATTCCATGGCTTTTAAATTAAATCATAGATAAAGCCTTTTGCCATGACTATTTACATTTTCCATTCACACAAATAAAAGCCTCTATAAAATTTTCCAGCCACAATATAATTTCCCTCATTTCTCTGACCAGTAATTATAGAGTAAAACATTGCACAGAAAGGCTAAATTAAAAACAACAAAAATTTAGTCAAAATAAGCTAAATGTACTATTTCCAGGCATCTCTTACAAGTAGTAAATGTTTAATAAACTATTAGCTCAACTGAACTTCATGTACACAGAAAAAAACAATGCAATTTTTTTTGTTACAATACTTAAAATCAACTCAGCCAATTTCAAGTATGTAATACAGTATTATTAACTAGTTAGCAGTCTGTACATTAGATCTCTAGAACGTATCCCACATAACTGAACCTTGTACCCTTGATCAACACCTCCCAACACCTCCCATTTCCTCCATCTCCTTGCCTCTGGTAACTACTGTGCTACTCATTATAAATTTGACTCATTTAGATTACACATGTGAGATCATGCAGTATTTGTCTCTCTGTCTTATATGACTTAGCATAATGTCTTCCAGGTTCATTTTTGTTGTCA